GCCCCTGGCCTGCCCAGCTCCGCACGTCGTCCTCAACTTCCAGCCCTTGATTGTGGCTCTGCCCTTAGTGTCACAGCTGCCAGAGTGACCAGCTGCAGGACCGAGCTGCTAGGCACTGTAGGTCACCCGGTGGTTTAAGTCCTAGTGTTTGGGGGAACCTCCAGACCTTTTCCTCAGGGGATGCCCTTCACCCCATAGCCTTGCCAACACCTGTTGTCTCCTGCCCTCTTGAGGACAGCCATTGTCACTGGTATGAGGCGACAGTGCGCGGTCTCTTGGCATTTCCCTGAGAACTGGTTCGGTGCGTGCCACAACCCTGGAGATCAGGAACATCTGGGGCAAGAAAAGCACTGGATGTGTCTTGAGATCACCAAATGGCATGCTTTGGGGGCCTGGGGCCAGGGGGAGATAGAAAGTGGGAGAAAATACGAGAATGAGGGGCTTGAAGGAGGAGACTATGGGGGTCCCCAAATGAGAAAAATGTTGAGTCTGAAGAACTGATGCACAGAGCCACACTGAGTTCAGATGGACGGGGCTTTAGAAAGCAGGTGAGCAAGGCCTAAAGGGTCAGGCTGGCGCAGACTCCACTGCATCTGCTACTCACCCTGGGCATGTTACACTGGGGATGCTTTGCCCACACACTCAGCAGCTGGCTGCCAACCCGAAGTTTTCCTAACTGAAATGGGGCCATGCAGCTCTGTGACTTACAAGCCCAATGTTCCCTGTCTGCGGAGGGCCCCGCAGCCTGTCCTCAGCCCTGGTAGTGAGTGGCTTCGCTTTCCTGTCTCTAGTTTTTGACCAGTTGGATGTGGTTTCCTACGAGGAAGTTGTCCGCCTGCCTGCGTTCAAGAGGAAGACTCTGGTGCTGATAGGTAATGTCTCACCATCCTTAGCCTCCCAAACACCCCAGAAGGACATCTTCCCTGAGCTGGAGTTTGAGCTTGGCCCTGAGCAGACTGACCCTTCTGGCTGGCTGGCTGGCCGCGGGGTGCCCAGGCAGGGGCTCTGCTTTTGACTGTGTGTGGGGAGCTCTCTCTTGGCAGCTGAAACGGTAGCTCATCTCCGGAGCTGCCCGCCATCACAGTGCCTGTCGGGTAATTAGGGCATGGGCGTTAGACAACTGACCAAGACACTGGCGACCTTCACTTCCACTGCCTTTACAAGTAGAGCTGTCCCCATGATGGCCAGCTCCTTACGGCAGGGCAGTCCCCAGGGAAAGAAAGAGAACCCTCACTGGGACAGGGGCATGGGGCTCTCTTCTCCAAGTTCCTCTCTCCCTCTGTAGGTGCCAGTGGCGTGGGGCGCAGCCACATTAAGAATGCCCTGATCCGCCAGAACCCCGAGAAGTTTGTGTACCCTGCCCCATGTAAGTAGCTCTGGGGGCCTTGGAGTAAAATAGGAGCAACAGTGTTTGAGTTCAGTGTTCAGTTATGATCAGAACCAAACACAGCACCGAGACAGGATGGGTCCGGGCAGGTGCCTGACTGCGAACAGAAGTAAACCCTGAGCATCGCTGAGTGTGGACCCCAAATGAAAATAGGTGAAACATAACATGAGCACTACCCCTGGAGAGAGCACTGCGGGTAAAACACTTGTCTTGCGTATGGCTGACCCAGACTCCAGACCTGAACATCACCAGCTGTGGCCCAAAGGAAATAAAACCAAAACCAACCGAAGATAACTTAGAAGACTGTTGCCTTTGGCATGCCAACAAGGCGCCCACACTGCTCTCTTGCTCTCTGCACTGTCTCAACTGAGACACTCGAGTTGACCTCGTGAGACAGGCCCCTCGGGATCACTGTCATTCTTGGCTCTGGGGTCTGGGCCACCCCTTCAGTGCTCGAGACCATGCCGACCTGTGGAGTGCGGAGGTGTGCTCAGGCACCTGCCGGCACCTAGAAATGTCCCTTCTTTTAGCAAACAAACACACAGAATGCCTCTGTCCATTGGCCCCCAAATCTCCCACTGTCCCCTGGCTTGGTCCAGCCCCCACCAGACTCTCCCCTACACTTCAGGAAATGCTGCTTAGCCTGGCAGCCTCTTCTCAGATGCCTGCTTCCCTCAGAGAAGGCTGGGAGTGCAGAGTGGCCTGCCAGGCTCAGAACACCTTCCCGTCCTTTTTGAATTCACTTGTTGTTCCTTTCCTTCCGGTCCTCCCAGTGGCTCCTCTAGGCTCATGGAGGGACACAGTTTGGTGGTGCTCAGGGCTGCCTCCTGGCTCTGTACTCAGGGATCACTCTGGGGGGGGCTGTGGGGACCCTGTGGGATGCTGAGGATCAAACCCAGGTCAGCAGCGTGCAGGACAAGTGCCCTCCTCACTGTGCTATCATTCTGGTTCTGACACAACATTTTTTTTTGCTTTTTGGTTCACACCTGGCGATGCACAGGGGTTACTCCTGGCTCTGCACTCAGGAGTTACTCCTGGCGGTGCTCAGGGGACCCTATGGGATGCTGGGAATCAAACTCAGGTCGGCCGCGTGCAAGGCAAAAGCCCTACCCGCTGTGCTTTCTCTCCAGCCCCCTGACACAACTTTAACTGGTGCCCCCCTTGGAAGATCCTGGGGACACGCAGGGGTGCTCTGGAGCCTGGCCGAGAACTGCAGCTATAGCCAGGAAAGGCACAAACAGCCCTGGTGACCCCTTCAGGGGAGCAGGATGAGCAGTGAGGTGGTCACACTTGCACATATGCTCTGCATGGTGGGCATGTTTGCCAGCTCCCGGGGAGGGGCTGCTGACCACCAAGTGTGCAGACGCGACAGGCCAGAGGACAGGGCCCAGCTGCAGTTTGGGCTGAGGATAGTGAGGGTGTGAGAGGCATGTTCAGGGCACATGTCAGAAGCACCGAGGCATGTTTCGAGTAAACGTGGGGGCTCCCTGACATGGCCAAGGTGTCGGCCGCTGGGGTGGGAAGAAACCCATCTTTTCTCAGCGGCCGGGAGAGGACAACCCCTCAACTTCTGACCCCATCTGCACACAGACACCACACGGCCACCCAAGAAGGGTGAGGAGGACGGGAAGGACTACCACTTCATCTCCACAGAGGAGATGACCAGGAGCATCTCTGCCAACGAGTTCTTGGAGTTTGGCAGCTACCAGGGCAACATGTTCGGCACCAAATTCGCTACAGTGCTCCAGATCCACGAACAGGGCCAGATCGCTATCCTGGACGTGGAGCCCCAGGTGCCAGGCTTGCATGTGGAGCCCCACTGGGTGTGGGGGTGCGGGGCTGGCTTCCGGCCGGGACTGAGGGCTGTAGCTGAGGGCTCACCCTTCTCTTCCTTCCTCTCTCCCTAGACGCTAAAGATTGTCCGGACGGCTGAACTCTCACCTTTCATCGTGTTTATTGCCCCGACAGACCAGGGCACTCAGGTGGGAAAGAGGGTGGAGTTCGGGGGTGGCAGCTCATGCTATGGCCAAGTGTGGACTGGCACGTTGCCCTCGCAGCCATCACTGAGAGCTGAGAGGCAAACGTGGGCGTGTCGGATTCCGCATGTGGGGCGGTTGTGGCCAGGCTGAGGGGAGGGGTGGGGGAATGCACCCTGGTCCCCACCGCAGTATCCCTTGGATGGCCACGCGAGCACGTTTCCAACATGGTAGCCCCGTGGCAGAAGGCTGACTCCCCTCTGTATCTTTGCACTAGCGGGGAAAGGAAGCTTCGCTGTGCAGGGCAGATGCACACAGTTCTCTGGATTTCTTTTGGGGCCACGGGGTGTGGGCTCCCAGTCCTGAGCACCCCATGGCCTCTGCACGCCCTGCCCTGGGCCCTTGCCAGCCTGCGGGCCCAGGCTCAGCTAGCTGCCTTCCCACTCTCCCCGCAGACGGAAAGCCTGCAGCGCTTGCAGAAGGACTCGGAGGCCGTCCGCAGCCAGTACGCACACTACTTCGACCTGTCACTGGTCAATAACGGCGTGGATGAAACCCTGACCAAAGTGCAGGAGGCCTTCGAGCGGGCATGCAGTTCTCCACAGTGGGTGCCTGTATCCTGGGTTTACTGAGCCTGCCAGTCGGGTGAACCCCAGTGACCCCTCCACCGCCCTCGCTTCAGCTATCGTCAGCCGCCTGCTCTGCACCTCTCCAGACTAGACTAGCCTCAGCCTCGTGGGCTCCGGAAGGAAGGACTGGCCCTGCTCTTCCTCGGCCATGGGGTCCATTGAGCCGATGTTGCAGGAGCACCTGCCGTGTGCCACTGCCACTTGGCGACGGTGCCCAGGAGGAAACACGGAACCATCCCTCCAAAGCCTCTGCTCCTTCACCTACAATTCACTGGGTGTTCCCTTCCCTTCATGAAAGCCTTTTGACTACAACTCTCCAAAATGCTCCAAAGCAATAAAAATGATGCCATTGAACTAAATGCCCAGGTCTTATACCTCTCTGGGTGCCCATCCAGGCTGGGCCCTGACAGCGTAGGTTGTAAATGTGGTTCGAGTTCCAGTAATGACGGAGCTTCCAGAGGGGCACAGCTGTGCCTGCTGTGTAGATCCTGTGTGTGCCCGTGGGACCAGCACAGCTGGTTTTGCCTCCTAAGAGTCTAGTTGAGCCCTGCCCTCATTCCCCAGCTGCTTGCTCCAGCTTCTTCAGACAATTGGGTCTTCAGAACACCTCTGCACCTGGCTGGCCCCACGTGTGTGCCTAGGACACACCCTCACTCATGGTTCCGCTCTTGGCTCCTGCTCCTCCACTCTCCTGGGGGCAAGCACCCGCTGAGACCCTGGGGTGCCACAGGGAGGGAGAAAACTCAACCTCCAAGTCTGAGGGTGCCGCTTGTCCTCACGATCTGGGCCACGTGGTGACACTCCCCCCCCGCCCCAAAATGAAGTGCTCTGGATCTAGGCCTCCCATTCCATCTACGGGGGGTGTACTGGATTCCCAGATCCCCAAGGTAAATGTTAAAGGATGAAGCGAACCAAGTATGCACGCCACGTGTAGCATACCAGAGGGTCCCTAGGTTTGGAATGTTCGCCAACCACCAGGAAAACTAGCAGGAATACTTTAAAAAAACTCTTCGTTTATTAGGTCAAAATGACAAGTCTTCTCCCAGTAACTATTTCTTCCTTTAACAGCTGATAAGGGTAAAGGAGACGGGGACTGTGGCTTCTGGGGTGATGCTAGCATCAAGCATCTGCAGAGAGCTAGGTCCAAAGGGCCAAGTTCACCTCAGAACCGTGACTGGAAGTGGGGCTCATGTTCCTCACAGAATGACGAACACTTCCCGCAGCCTAGGAGCATTATCCAGTCCAACTCTGGATCACCGAGGGCTCCGCATCATTTCATTGACCATCTCATTTTTACAAACTTCGTATCAAGACGGGGACGCGGGCAAGGCCGTGTAGACGGTGCCTCCTCCACCCATGCCCTAAAACAGGATGGGGTCGGCTGGCCACAGCAGATCTGACCGGCAAGGTCTCCCGGTGGCTAGAACGTGCCAGAAGGCCCTAGGTCCTATGCCCTCAACCACCTAAGGAACTGTTTTCGGTAAGGCTTTCGTTTCTTCTCCCCGCTGACCCAGCGCTTGGATAGTCCGCGCTACTTGGAAACCACTTCGGTTTTGATTTTCTTCTTCTTCTTCTTCTTCTTTACGCCATCACTGTCCTAAGGGGGTGGGGGAAGAGCAAGCATGCTCAGCGATCTGCACAGCCATGGACACACGTCTAGTCACTTGGGTTGGCAGGATGAGAGAGGATTTGGGGCCCGACATACCCCCGCCCCAAAGTCCCAAGCTTTCTGGGTTTCTCTGGGGGAACTGCATCTGGTTCACACACTGCCCACCTGCCAGCCACACCAGAGTACAGGGCAGCAGTTTCTGGGCTGAGCTGGGGGACCCTCCAGGACTAAGGGAGCCCACGGGCCATGTACATGCCCCTACACACCCCATCTCCCGGCTCATCCACCATCTCCACAGCTTCCTTGGCCTTCTTGTCCTTCTTCTTCTTCTTTTCTTTCTTGACCACTGGTGTAGTTGCTGGGGAGTCATCACTTTCACTCTCGCGCTTCCGCTGAGGTGAACAGACAAAGTGCCAGGCTTCCAGTCAACCCCATTCCTGACTAGGTCAGGGAGACCCACAGCAGTAGGGCCGGGACACCACGGTCAGTCCAGTGCCAGCTGCCGCCTCACCACCCCCAGGCACACAGGCAGGAGGCAAACCAGGTCACTCACCTTCTGGACCTTTCCATCACCAGGAGGCACTGGCGGGGCTGCCACTGCTCCGGGTGCTGCCTCTTTCTTCCCTGAGTCGCTGCAAACAGAGAAGAGGCGGCAGAGCGGTGAGGGCTCACGGAGCCCCCAGTGCAAGCGTGTTTGGCAAGTCCAGAGCCACCAGTAGGCACAAGCTAGGCAGAAGCAGATCTTACCACTTGTTTTCGCAGACTGACTCCCTCTAGAGTCCCCTATGCCAGACTAGAAAGGGATAACCGTCTGCCGGCAAGGCCCGCCGCCCTTGGCCTGCCCTCCCACCAGACTCACCTGTAGTCCACGTAGTCCTGGGTCCATGAGGCAGGGGTGCTGTCCGTGGGCTTGCCGTGCTTATCCAAGAGCCCCTGCTTGATCAGAAGCTTCTTCTGACTCGCCTGGAAGCAAGGTCCCAAGGTAAGAGTGATGTCGGCACACAGGGTTGCGCCTCCAGGGGGCTTGTTCCTCTGTGGAGCCTCCACAACTCAGCCTCTGCAGCACACATCCCAGCGGGGCCACACGGCACAGCCCTGGCAACCACACACAGGCGTGCACACGCGCACACACGCCAGCACGGCCAGGCAGCACAGCCCTGGCAACCACCTACAGGTGCACACCCCCCCCAACACACACACACACACACACACACACACACACACACACACACACACACACAGAGTGAGGCCAGGCAGCACAGCCCTAATAACTACAAATGGGCACAGCTCACATGCACATGTCGGGAATAGAAGCCCACAACACACACCCGGCGCACTGACCTTTGGCCCTAAGCCCCACTTCCGAGGGTAAGTGTCTCTCTCCATGATCACTCGCTTGATCTTGGCCACGACGCCATGGTCACAGGTGGATATCACTGCCGTGGTCATGAGTGCAATGGCTGTAGACGTGGGAAGTTCAGAGAATGGCTATAGAGGCAGGCTGCACCCCCAAAGTGAGGCCCCGACTCATACACAGCAACCCAGCTTTAAATCTGAGGCTGCTTCTGCCAAGAACATGCTTGCGGAGGAACTGCTTTGTTGCAGGGATTAAGCCTCTAAAAGCCCCCAAATTTACCTACCAAGTGAGGGGCGGGGGCACCTGTACAGGGGCTGACCCACACCTGACACCCAACGCAGTGCATGTGCCCCCATGGGACCCTAGCACGGTGGGGAGCAGCACTTAGAAGCCCCAACAACGAAGTCCCCAAAAGACAACTCAGCCAGTTCAGCATTATAGGCACGCGGCACAGCCACACGCCAGCACCTCTTAGCCAATCTCAGCTCCTCAGTCGGGAGCTGGATCCCTAGTCCCAGGCCCCGATTTTCTTGGGGGCAGGAGCCAGAGGAAAGAACCACCTCACAGGACGGCCCACCTCAGGCTCAGGGCTCGGCCGCACAGGGAATGGAATGCACTTTGGGGCTCGGAGTAAGGCCGGAGACTCACCCATGCAGATGGCCTCCCCCTTGGTGGTGATAACCACGATCTCCTGATTGACCTCGATGCCATCCTCATAGCGAAGCACACCAGGAAGCATGATCTTGGCCCCATAGCAGATGGCATTCACCTGCAGAGATGACACCCCATGAGGCCTGCCACCCCCGACGGCACGGAGGGGCACCAGGGCCGTGGGCAAAGGGCCAGAAGGCTGGAGCCACCCACCATTCACGGGCAGACCCCGCACACACAGAACCTCTGGGAAATTCAGGCACCGTGTTTATAGGAGTCTGAGTGAAGTTCACTTAGACAACGGGACAAACCTTTTCTTTATAGACGGGCTGGGCCACACTCAGCAGTACTTTGGGGGAGCATGAGGCGCTAGAATCCAACTGGACTCCAGGCCAGTGCCTGAGGCCCCATATTCTCTCCAGCACCCTGGGACCAATTTTCAAAGGAATGTTTATTATCTTCCTAACTTTCCCAAGCCTCTGGTGACTTAAAATACTGTCAATCACAGCTTCATGTACCACCCTATCACCAGTGTTCCCCCACTGTAGCATGCTCGGCTTTGACGGAAGCAAGTGTTAAAACGCTTCCGCCTTCCATGAGAAACCCGGTGCCCAGTTATACCGCGCTATCCTTCATGACCAGCCGCTTATGCGACGTCAGCAGCTTCTCCAAGGGGAAAATGACTCGCCGCAGGTAGCTCTCGTCCTTGTGGTTGTCATACAGCCATTGCGCATCGAGCACATCATGCATGGTCACCATGTGGTCCTGGAAAGTCACCGATGAGTGTCAGGCAGTGCCCCCTCTCAAACCACCCAGTCCCCGCTCAACTGAGCGGCGCGTTGTCTGCTTGTTTGAACCTGCCAGTCTTGAGTCTCAGACTCACATGCGCCCTCTTCTGGCACCCCACAGTTCATCTGTTTCAATGGGAAATGAAGAGAAATACCTTCTACCTAATCACCTCCTCCAGCCCATGTGTTACCGTCCCTAAGGTAAATTACCAGAACAGGGAAGTCCAAGACTCTGGTTCATGCCTGTAGCAGGCCATGAAGCTGTGTAAGCCCAGCACGGGCAAAAGTGAGTGCTGGGTGCTGGCTCGTTCCCCTCAGCACTGCCCCTGCCCGCCTACCTTTTCATTCATGACTCCGGAGCGGACCCTCCTAAGCTCCTGCATCTGACCACCGACGCCGAGCAACAACCCCAGGTGCACACACAGTGTGCGAATGTAGGTGCCGGCCTCACAGCTCACCCAGAAGATCCCTGAGACAGAGGAACACTACATGTACTTTCCAGTGCAGCCGCGTCCTGGCCAAGAAACCCAGAGCTCCCCGCGAGCCACGCCCACACTGAGTCCCAAAGACCCACCTAATCGCCTCTCCGGGTCGTACTCGAGCATCTTACTCTCGTAGATGGTGCGTACCCGGAGCTGCCTCTTGACTGCGGCTATAAGCGGGGGGCGCTGGAATAAGGCACCTGTCAGAGTCTCCAGAGCCTGAAAGCAAAGCCAACATTCTCAAAGCCTGGCCGCGCATGCAGCATCAAAGGGCCCATCTGCAGAGCAGAAGGCCATGGGAGGGTTCTGACAATGGCCCTAACTCCTTTATGCCCTCCAAGGCAGTCTCCCTGCATCAGCACTTACCCTAGAAAGCTGGCTCCCCCCTTCAATAGCATTGTGCAGCCGGACAATCCCCACATACTCTTTGCCTGAAAAGGGATCAAAGAGTAGTCAGGCACGCCGCTGAGTTTGCTGTTTTCCTCCCACAGCTGCTCCTTCCCATCACGCCCAGCTCGGGCAGCAGGAAAGCAGACCAACGAGTGCACCTCACACCGATTTCATGGGGGTGCGGTGGGCAAGGAATGAAGACACACCCCTCAAATGCACAGGAGACCGAGTAGGGAGTCTGAGGCGCCTAGCACGGGAACTTGGGCAGGACTTGGCACGGCAGTGCTAGCAATAGCAGTCAGCTGTGCGAGCTCCGTGTCTTGCCCCGGCACTCCAAGAGGAGGGTGGCCGGCAATCTGGCAGGGTAGAAGCCACACTGAACCGAGTAGCCCCAACCCGGAATTCCACTCCCCTGCCAGGGAGAAATCACTACAATCAAATGCAAAAGGGAAAGAGAACAGGAAGAGAAAGGACCTTCCACGTACCTGCACTCTGTTGTGACTTCACTAAGCGAGTGGCTCGTTCTATGCACACGATTAAACAGCCAGTCACCTTGGGATCCAGAGTACCACTGTGCCCAGTCTTTTCTACCCGAAGTATCCGTCGAATCCAGGCTACCACCTCATGGGAAGAGGGGTTGGAGGGCTTGTCGAGATTAATGAAACCTGTTCTGGAATGGCGAAGAAATGACTTGCACTGCTCGCTCGCCCACGAACAGAGAAACAATCTGAAGCCCAGGAGTGTTCATAGTGGTGCAGGTTACACATCTAGGACAGTGCTACCGAAATGTTGGAGGGCTGCAGGAGAGGGAAGGTGCTTGACTTGCATGCAACCGAGCTGGTTTTGATCGCTGGCAACACACTGGGCCTCAGAAGCCCCGCCAAGAGTGAGCATGGAGCCAGAGTATACAGCTAGGAAGAAGCCCTGAGCACCACTGGGTACAGCCCTCAACCCAACAGAAACCAGCACAGGTGAAAGGGCTTGAAAGAACCGGGCTCCCCATATGCTTACTTACCTGATGTAGTCCCCAATCTCCCTCTTCAGAGGGTTTGAACCACAGGGAAGCGGGGTATAGTGTGTTGTCCTTATATTTAGCTTATCGAAGTTCTAGAAAACAATCACAACACAGGAGAAATGTCATAGGCCATTAACATGTCAAACATAGCAGTGTCATCAGCATGACACTGTAAGCATCTGGGTCTATAAACTGGACATCCCTTCCTACGCTTCACTGCCACAACATGCTGGAAAAAGGTCCCAGCTTACTAGTCCAAAGTAAGACCAATCACCACCCCTCGAGACTTTCTGGAGTTCCACAGAACCAACTATGCTCACACCGGGCATGTTGTGAGTATGGAACAGTTTAGATTTCTTAGGACAAAAGACAAACACAGGGCTGGAGCGATTGCACAGCAGGTAGGGCGTTTGCCTTACACGCAGCCCGACCTGGGTTTGATTCCCAGCACCCCATAGGGTCCCCTGAGCACCGCCAGGTGTGACCCGAAAAGGAAAGAAAAAAAACAACTGCACAGAAATACAGACAAGTGATGTTCCTTTCTCTGCTCTTGTCTCAGCACCTTCCCACCCCTTCTTTCCCTGGCTCTCTACTTATCTAGAAGTGCAATCTGCAAAAACAGCTAGCTCACTTGATACCGCAGTACTCAGCACAGTAAATCCCTTCCTTGAACTATGTCCACCGGGAGACCTGAATTCCACATCACCAAGACCTTGCTTACCTGGTGCCCGGGAGGCCTAAATCCAAAGCCAGCTTCTCTCTCAGTGGCAGACCCCACTCAACAACGCTGACACCCGCAAGCAAATCTGACACTTAGACTCATCTGCTCTGCTCACTGTGATGTCACACGTGGGTACTCCAGCAACTTTCTCTGCCAAAACCTTTGGTAATCAACCTCCCAGGAAGCCAGTCACTTGTGGACTTTCAAGCTCAACCCAACTAGCAGGATCTCAATCCAATAAATCCGCTAATGATTTCCTGAGAATCTGCTATAGTCCGTAGATAAAACGTTTTCCTGGATCAAACTGCCTCCCGTAGCCCTCAGTTTGCCTTCCTGGGAGAAGTTGTTCTGAGCAAGTAGCCCCGGAGAGCTTAATTGGCTGGCCACAGATCACACTGGGTCTGACCCTAATTAACGAGGCTTCCAAGACCAAGCTCTGGAGCACTGATGCTGTCCTGACCCAAGAGTGAGGCACACAGCTGCACAGCCTGGAAGGCAGTTAAGTTCTGAACTCGAACAAATGTTATTCATCGTGAAACTCAACCCCTATTTCCTGAGGCCTGGGTGAAGCCTGCTTTCTGCTGGGCCACCAGTCACTCCTTTCCACAGCAAGGATGTGCGCCCCAGCACTCATCAACTATGCGCAAAAAGCAAACCGTCCACAAACAGACCTCAACCCTTAAGGCAGACCTACCTTTAGCAACAGAGGCCAGTGAGACGTGTCCAGCTGAGCTACTTTGGATTCGGGCTTGATAAGGAATTCTTCAGCGTGTTGGATTTCCTTCCACGGGAGAAAAACACACTTTATTAGCGGCCCAGTTGACTGGGAACAAGTCCATCAGGACCACGGAATTCTCTTTAGCTAGAAAAGGGGCGCTCTACGAGTCTGTACTAGGCCTCCAAGGGACCAAACTGAACCTGGTTCCCGGGAAGGTGACGGGAACCAGGCGGCGGGCTGGGCCAAAAGCCAATCCCAGCGCGGTGGGGGTCAAGACGTTTCTACCGAAGAACCAGCCATCGCGGCCCGAGCGTCCAGTGGCGGCGACGGGCCCCAAGGACGCAGCTTTTCGGCGCGAGCGCAGCCGATCGCTACTCACAGCAACGTCTTCGTCGGGCACAGACTTCCGCTCCTTTTTCTTCTTGTGCTTCTTCGGCACCACAGAGACTGAAAGAGCAAAGCGCCGCCACTCAGACTTCCCGCGCAAAACCAAGGCGGCCGGGCGGGCGGCGGGCAGAGGCAAGCCATCGCGCCGCACGTGTCGCCTCCATGCCGCCTCACCACGTGGCCGCGGCCGCGCGCAACTTGTCGCACGCGCCGCGGCCCGCCCGAACTTCCAGCCGCGACCGCTCGCCTCACTCCCGCCGCCGCGGCCCCCGGGGCCGTCGGGCCCCCGCGCCCCCTCGGGCCCGCCGCTCCCCCGGCCCCTTCCTGCCGTCGGCGCGGGGCGGGAAGCGGCGCGCGGCGGCCGGGACTCCCGCGGGGCGGGCTCCGGCGTCACGGCCCGCGCCCGGCCCCCTCGCCCACCGGCCCGCAGCGGCGGAGCCCCGGCCGAGGGGCCAGGCCGGCGGGAGGCCGGGCGCCGAGGGGCCGGCCGGGGGCGGCGGGGGCCGCCGCCGACCCGGGCCCGTCGGCCGTGACCGCCCGCGCGGCTCTCCCGCCGGCCGTGGGCGCAGCCCGCCGCGCGGCCGACCCTCACCTTCCGAGTCCGCCATGTTGCCCCGCGCACACCGCGCGCCGCGTGTGCCGAGGCGGAGGAACCGGCCGGACCCGGGGCCGCCGCGCCGTCAGGCCGCGCCGCTAGGACACGCCCCTCGCTGCGCCGCCCGTTGCGTGCGGGGGCGGGCCGGAGCCGGAGGCGCGCGGGCGTCCCCAGCGAGCCCATTGGCTGGCGCCTCCGCGCGCGCCTGCGTCGGGGGACTCGCCCCGCCCGCGCGGCTCGGGCTGAGAGCGCGTGCGCGGTGGGGCCCGCGGGCCGGGGCCTCTGGGCGTGGGCGTGGTGGCCGCCGCTGTCCGCAGCGCTCGCCCCTCTGGGCGGGCCGGGGCGTTGGTCGCCGCTCCTCACCCCGCTGGGCCCGGGTGCTCCTCGGCCGGCCCCTCCTGAAAATCTGAGCCACTGGGCGGGGTACAGGAACGTACACAGGCGGCCGGATGCCGTTTGTGGTTCCCAGGCGGCGAGAGGCGCTGGCCAATAGCAATAGAGTGCGGGCCGTGGGGGCGGGGGCGGTAAAAAGGAAAACGGTGACGCTGACTCCGATAGCACACTCGGTAGCTCACCAGATTCAAAATATCCTTTCAACGCACACGCCACGGGGGACGCGATGTGCGGCTTGCATTTGGTGTGCCGTCTTTCCTCCCGTTTCACTCACGTTCCCTGGATAAAGATGAAATCGCCGCGCAGCCGTGTCACGTGCTCAATAGCCGCAGGTCGCTGCTGGCTGCGCTTCAGGACGCCCAGGAAGTAACGGCACCACAGCCTAGTCCTCTACTCCGGTGTTCACACTCCTAAACCGGACACCTTTTTCGGAAGGGGCATCACTTCCGGTGGTGCTGGAGGAACGATGCAACACTGGGGGGTTGAACCCAGGTTCTATATGTCAAACCCACATATTTTACATGCATTCCACCTTTTTGAGCCACATAGGGGACCCGACAAGCAAGACGTAGATTTTTGGTTTCTTTCTGTGCGGGGACGACATCTGACTGGATTCAGGGATCACTCACTGCCACACTGCTGAGGAAACTTGTGAGGGACCGAAATTGGGTCGCCAAGTGCAGAACAATCTATTTCTCTATTTAGTCCCAATCCCAACTGACACTTGTTTCACTTTTTGCTTTCACCTGTGGTCCTCATGGCGTGCTCCTCCAGGATTTCTCCTGGTACTGCACAGGGGAGGCCTGTCATCCATCTGCCAGGGATTGAAATGGAATTGTCTGCGTGGGAGACAAGCACTTTACTTAATCCGTATTATCTCAAGGCTTTTGGATTTTTTTTGCAGCCACACCCAGTGGCGCTTAGGGATTACTCCTGGCTCTGATCTTAGGGATTACTCCTGGCTCTGATTTTAGGGATTACTCCTGATGGGGCTTGGAGGATAGTATGAGGTGCCTGGGGTCGCACCGAACCTGGGTCAGCCGCATGCAAGGTGGGCGCCATACCCGATGTACCGTAACTCTGGGTTTTAGATTTTCTTTCTTTCCTGTTTTTTTTTTCCCCACACACACTTGGCTGTGCCCAGGGTTTAGTTCTGGCTTTGTGCTCCTGGTGGTGCTGAAGAGCTGCATTGGAAGTGCAAGGCAACAAGCGTATTACTTCTGTACTTCTCTCCAGCACTGTCACGGCTTTTGGGTTTTCTTTTCCTTCTTGTCTCTCTTTTATTTTTGGTAGGCTGGGCGTGGGGTGGGGGATTACACCCTGCAGTGCCCAGGGCTTACTCCTGACTGGGCTGGGGGACCCTGTGTAGTGCCCGGCATTGAACCCAGATTGGCCAGGTGCAAAGCAAGCACCTTAGCCTCTGTACCTGAGATTTCTTATACTAGCCCCTGGTTATAGGTCCCTAGTTGTGTGGCTTTTTGGGGCGATTGTAAGTGGGATCTTTTGCTGTTGCTGCTGACAAAAGGGGAAACTTCAAAATGCTTTGCTCCCGCTGCTTTTCATTCTGCCATGAAATGATCACACATTTTTCAGTTCTGATTTCATATCTCTTAAAGGATAGTACAGCAGATAGGGCACATGCCTCCCACATGGCCAATGAGGGTTAGATCACCTGCCCCCACCCATATGTTCCCCGGAGCCCTGCCAGGAGTGATCCCTGAGCCCAGAGTCAGGAATAAGCCCTGAGCACAGCGGGTGTGGGCTCAAAACAAACAAAAGAGGATGATAGTCACCCTGATGAATAGTCACCCAAGTTCTCTGGAGGACACACAAATCATCCATTCTTCTCTTGCATTATCTGATGCTTCTTAGGTCCCTATTTAGCTGAACCATTAGCTTTCACCTTTCTCCAGAGGCTCTCTGCGAACAGTTGTTGGCCAGTGCCTCCTGCAGGTCCCATTGATTCTTGTTCTACTGTTTCCAACTGTGTCTTCCCCAAAAAGTAGCTGCAAAGAGCCATGTCCATCTTCTGCCCAAATCCCTTCGTGGCTTCCATTGTCCACGGTGATGATTTCTGCCCAAAGATGCTCCCTCAACAGCCCCCTGTCAATTCAACTATATTTGAAAGGTGCCTTTGTAGATGTACTTCAAGATGTGAAACTAAGATCATCTAGACTGACCCAGGCGGGCCCCAGATCAAGGTGTCCAGCAGGAGGCGGAAAGTGGAATGATTCCAGCCTCCAGAGCTGCTCTGCGCCAGCTGGTGTGGGACTGTGCTGCTGGCAGCCCTGGAACTTGAGCTGCCTCCTCACTGAGCAAGTGGGCATTAGTTCCTGGTGGTATTCCAGGATGTGTGACAGGAAGGTGGTACCCCAGATCTTTCCACCTGGGCCTTTCAGCCATGATTGCTTCCTGCTTTGGATCAGGAAAAAGACAGGGATTCCATTGATCCTTTCAAAATCTGGGCCATTCTCGGGTCCAGGGAGATGGCACAGCAGATAGTACTCTTGCCTTGCACCCTGCTAAGCCGAATTTAATCACTGGTACCACATATGGTCCTTGAACCCGCAGAAACTGATCCTTGAAAACAGAGCCAGGAGTAAACTCTGAGCACCGCTGAGTGTGGCCCCAAACACAAGCAAATTTGGCTCCATTCTAATAGGAATGTGATGGTGTCTCATCACGGTTTTAATATGCGTTGGTTGCAATGATGGGTACTGCTACTGAATCTGTTTCCATATCCTTGGTTGATGTCTGTATGTCTTCTTTAGTAAAATGTTTCCTCATAGTATTATTTATTTTTATTTTTTCTTTCTTTAGAGCCACACCCAGCAGTGCTGAGCTTACTCCTGACTTACTCCTGACTCTGCTCAGGAATCACTCCTGATGGGCTTGGGGGACCTATGGGGTGCTGTAGACCGAACGCAGGCCGGCTGCATTCAAGGCAAGCACCCTGCCTGCTGCACTATCTCTCCAACCCTGTTATTATTTTTGTGGTCAACATCCAGCAGGGCTACTCTCGGCGCATTGCTTTTGGGGTCAATCCCATTGGTGTCCGGCTTTTACATGCAGGGCATGGCCACTAGCTCTTTGTGGTATCTCTTCAGTCCTTCTTCATCTCTTTAGAATGTTTTCTATTTTTGGTGGGGGCTGGGAGAGAGGTTGGGCCACATCTGACTGCGCTCAGGGCTTATTCCTGGTTCTTCATTCAGGGATTACTTCTGGTGGTGCTCAAGGGATCGCCTAGGGCGCTGGGAATTGAACCCTGATCAGTTATGTGCAAGGGAAGCACCTTACCCATTGTACTAGCTCTCTGGCCACTCTTTTGTCTGTTTCAAACGAGTTATCAGTGTTTTGTTTGATTATGAAGTTTTGAGAGTTTCTTTAGTCCTGATATGAATCCTTTTCACATCTGTTGAAACCCGGGTCCTAATAGGAGCAGAGTTACCTAACACTGACAAATGTGGTTGGGCACAAGTTAGAAACTCTCTCTCACCAGCTCTATTTTGCAGGAGCAGCTTTGCTGACTCAGCAAATGTTCCAAGTGTTGGGGAGAAAACAAGCCCTACTCCTCCAGAACAGCCCTCACCCGGCCTTTGTTCCTGCTGGCTGCTCTCTGAAAAAGCTCCCCCAGAGCGGTGTAACCAATGACTGTTACAAGTCAGGTTTCAGGAAGGAATGCCCAGAAAAACTTAAAGGTTTGGGAGGCTAGATGCCTCAAGGGCTCCATTCTATATCTCTGGAGACTCAGCTCCTGTTTTCAAGAAACAAATTTCCAGGGCCTCTGGTGGTACAGCAGGTAGTGCGTTTGCCTTGCATGGGATTCAATCCTGGATTCAATCCTCAGGTCCCCTAGGGTCCTTCAACCGCCATCAGAAGTAATTCCTGAGTGCATAGCAACCAAAAAATGAATAAAAAGAAAAAACACAAGTTTCCTTCCTCTCCTCCTCTCAGTACAAGTATTATTCTAGTTAACACAGCCCTGTGGTCCGCCGGGCTGCACTGAACGCTGACATGGCAGTGTGGAGCTTTCAGTACTCAGCTGCAGCAGGATTCAAACTTTGTCCCAGTCTTTCGTATTCCTCTTTATTTCTGCAGTGTCAGGGATTGACATATAAATGTGTTCCTGGTTCCTTTTATGCTTTTTACCATGGAGGGGTTTTTGCTAATCAATTAATTTTTTTATCAAGTCAAAAGTTTCCATTCTGATGGGTTTCATTTATTGCTTTTGTCTTTTTATGGATTGTACCTTTGGCACCCTGTCATAACTCCGCACTAGGGACCAAAGCAATAGTGCAGCAGGTGAGGTACTTGCCTTGCATGTGGGCGACCCGGGTTCAATCCTTAGCATCCCATGTGGTCCCCTGAGCACCGCCAGGAATGATTCCTGAGTGCAGAGCCAGGACTAACCCCCTCAACGTCACCAGGTGTCCCCCCACAAAGAACTCTTCACTAGGTCACAGGGCTCAAATATCTTCTGCTACATTATCTTCCAAAGGTTTTTCAGTTTATATAAAAATAGGTTCCACTTGGAGCTCATTTTTGTGGAAGGTTGCACTCAAAGTCTTAACATTGCAGAGGAGACGGTGTGTACGTGGGTATACAGTTCTCTAGAATTCTGTGTTGAAAGGATTCTTCTCGACTACCTCTAGTGGGCTGCTTTTGTTCATATGTGAAAAGCAAGTTAGATGAATGTATGCTGGTTTATCACTGTACCCATACA